GACGGGACAGGACACGATGAGATGCAGTGGGGGGGGATGGGATTAGGATGGGATGGGATGGGATGCAGTGGGATGGGATGGGATGGGATGCAGTGGGATGGGATGGAATGGGACAGGGTAGGATGGGACAGGGCAGGATGGGATAAGATGGGATGGGATGGGCAGAGCACGGTCCCCCCCAGGCAGGCAGACAGGACCCACTGGCTGGGGGCGAGCAGGGCTGGGGGTCACTCACATCCCGCCTTTGACGCGCACCGACAGCACGTGGTTGTTGAAGCCCTCTGCCTGCAGGCTCCGCACTTCGCTGTTCAGCTCGATCTCCTTCCCCTCAAAACACTCCAGCCCGTGCAAGAAGATGGAGGGCTCCGAGAAAAACTGTGGGGTGGGAAAAGAGGCGTGAGGGGGACAAGCAGGAGGAGTGAGCACCCATGGGTGCAGAATGGCTCCAAGAATGGAGAGCCAGCACCAGGGGTACCCGCAGGAGAGGAAAAAAGGGGTTCCTGGGGAATTTCTGCCCCAGTGCTGGTGGCACTCACCACTGGGACCTTCTTCAAGGAGCGGATGGTGGTGGAGGAGAGGCAGCCCATGGCGCTGAGCGTGGGGTACTCGCCCTCGGAGAGCACGTGCTGGTCCCCCGCAAAGTCCTGCCCGTCGAACAGGATCCAGCTGGCAGGGAGGAGCGTGCCCAGGCTGACCATCGTGGTGGGCATCCATCCCTCTTGCAGCATCCCCGTCCTGCCCACCCTCCTTGGGGAGCCCCCATGGGGGGGGGGCCTGCAGGGCTGCTGGCCAGGATGATGTCCCTGTTCCCGTCCCCATTCCCATCCCAGCCAGAGGCAGCAAGGCCTTGGGACACCCTACCTGCCCCCCCGGACTCTGCAGGAGCGTGGGATGAAGGCATCAGGCAGGGCATCCTGGTCCTCCTCGAAGGCGACGTGGTCCCCCAAGAAATCAGGCTCTGAGAAGAGCAGGATCTGGGGAGGGGGAGCGGAGGGGCTCGGTGAGGGGGGTGAAGCATCACCAGCACCCCACAAGCGACCACATCCCCCAGGGGGGGGCACGTCCCCCTCCCCATCTGCCGCCCCTGACCTTGGAGACGAAGTGGAGGTTGCGTTCTCCGACCTGGAAGATGACAGAGAGGGGCTGGTTGGTGTCGTGCCCCAGCTCGGCCCCCCAACCAGCCCCGTGTGTGGTGAAATGGGGGGGGGTTTGCTCAGGGGGGGTGCCTGGTGCTCTCACCTGCAGGATGGGCTGCGCCGAGGCGATGCGGCAGTCGCTGGCACCCCAATCTTCGCAGTTGCGGTACACCCCCTTCTCCAGGATGTACTGCTCGCCCGAGAAGTTGGTGCCCTCGTAGGCCACCCACCTGCCAGGAAAACGTGGGTGCTGGCTCAGCATGTCCCCCATCCATCCCCAAATTGTCCCCCAACCCCGGTCCCCACACTCACACGCCGCTCAGCACGTGGATGGACTGGGTGATGGTGCCGTAGCCGGCCAGCTGCGTGTCGGGCAGCGCCTCGCTCAGCTCCACACTTGGACCTTCCTCAAAGTCCATGGCCTCAAAGAGGACCAGCGCCGGGTCAGAGAAGTCCTGTGGGGACAAGGACATCCCCCCCCCCACCAGAGCCCCACGGTCTGTCAGGGGGAAGGAGGCACGGGCCAGGGGGTCTCCACACACACAACCCCAGGGACCCCAGGGAGGGTGGGAGCAGCTCTGGGCACCCAAACCTCTGCGTGTGATGAGTTTAGGGGATCTCAGGCCATGCCCAGCTGCCTACACAGGCAAGGAAGGCTCCCTTTGGGGGATAATGATGGGTCTGGGGGGGCTGGCTCTCCCTGCCCACACTGGGTCCATCCCCAAGAGATGTCACACACCCCCCCCGCCCTCACCGTCCGTATCAGCCGTAAGGACACCAGCTCCTGGTTGTAGCCACCCCACTGCTTCCAGTCCTGGTACTCCCCTTCCTCCAGCAGGTACTGGTGGCCGCGGAAGCCCTCCTTCTCGTAGCCGACCCAGCTGTGGCACAGGAGATGCAGGCAGTGAGGTCTCCAGATGATGTCCACGTGCCGGGACATGGGGACACCATCCATGCCACTGCCACCCTCTCCCCCAAGCTGCCCACAGCCATCCCACAACTCCAGGCAGCTCCTCCAAGTCTTCTCCCAGGGGTGACCATCACATTCCCAGCCTGTTCCAGCTGGGGTTGCCCACCCTACGTTGCTCACCAGCCACCCAGGACGTGCAGGGAGCCCACGGTGGCCAGTGCTGGCCCAGGCAGGCGCTTCAGGTCGTAGATGTCTCGGTTGATGGCAAAGCTGCGGCCCTGGAAACCCGCGGCCTCGTAGATCAGCACCTGGGGACATGGTGGGGTGAGAGTGGTCCCACGGTCACCCTGGCCCCGTGGCCTCCGTGGGCACTGGCCCAGCACTCACCTGAGGCTCGCCAGGTCTCTCCACAACAGGACAGCCCTGGAAGGAGAAGGACCCCCAGTGAGGCTACGGTGGCAGGAGGGGATGGCACAGGGACATCCAATTCCCCCCACTTTAAAGCCTGGGCTGGTTTTTGGGACATTTTAATTCAAGAACGAGCTCTTTTAGGCTTTGTTTCATTCCTTTCCTTCACCATGAACCCACAGGAGCGCCCCGGGCAGCTCCTCCAAGCCTTCTCCCAGGGGTGACCATCACATTCCCAGCCTGTTCCAGCCGGGGTTGCCCACCCTACGTTGCTCACCAGCCACCCAGGACGTGCAGGGAGCCCACGGTGGCCAGTGCTGGCCCAGGCAGGCGCTTCAGGTCGTAGATGTCTCGGTTGATGGCAAAGCTGCGGCCCTGGAAACCCGCGGCCTCGTAGATCAGCACCTGGGGACATGGTGGGGTGAGAGTGGTCCCACGGTCACCCTGGCCCCGTGGCCTCCGTGGGCACTGGCCCAGCACTCACCTGAGGCTCGCCAGGTCTCTCCACAACAGGACAGCCCTGGAAGGAGAAGGACCCCCAGTGAGGCTACGGTGGCAGGAGGGGATGGCACAGGGACATCCAATTCCCCCCACTTTAAAGCCTGGGCTGGTTTTTGGGACATTTTAATTCAAGAACGAGCTCTTTTAGGCTTTGTTTCATTCCTTTCCTTCACCATGAACCCACAGGAGCATGTTCCAGAGCCACACTCAGCATGTTTGCCAGTGAGAGGACAAGGGGCAATGGGCACAAGTTGGAACATAAAGGGTTCCACTTCAATATGAGGAAGAACTTTTTCATGGTGAGGGTGGCAGAGCCCTGGAACAGGCTGCCCAGGGAGGGTGTGGAGTCCCCTTCTCTGGAGATTTTCAAGACCCGCCTGGATGCTCCTGAGTAACATGCTCTGACAAGCTCTGGGTGGTCCTGCTTTAGCAGGGGAGTTGGGTTAGATGATCTCTATGGTCCCTTCCAACTCTAAAAATTCAGTGAAATTCAGTGAAATTCAGTTTCCACGCCGAGCTCTCACTGATGTGAACCAGGAACCACCAGGAGATGCTCTTTCCTGTCGTGTCCAGGGCTGGATACGCTCCTTGCACCCCAGTAACCGCGCTCCAGCGACCAGCACTCACCAGCCTGATGGGGTGCATGGAGCAGATGGAGGGGTCCTTGGCTCCCCAAGCCTTTAAATTGGGGTACCCGCCCGGTTCCAAAACGTAGGGGTCATCGTCGAAGAAAGGCTTGGAGTAAACCAGCCACCTGGGGAAGAGGGAGGAGAGCATCACACCCTGCTCCAGCCCGTGCTGGAGCCCACCCGGGTGCCCACTCGTGTCCAGGGCTGGATACGCTCCTTGCACCCCAGTAACCGCGCTCCAGCGACCAGCACTCACCAGCCTGATGGGGTGCATGGAGCAGATGGAGGGGTCCTTGGCTCCCCAAGCCTTTAAATTGGGGTACCCGCCCGGTTCCAAAACGTAGGGGTCATCGTCGAAGAAAGGCTTGGAGTAAACCAGCCACCTGGGGAAGAGGGAGGAGAGCATCACACCCTGCTCCAGCCCGTGCTGGAGCCCACCCGGGTGCCCACCCAACCCCATGGTCCCACTCACAGGCCCGAGTGGACGATGATGGAGGCGGCGGCGAGCGCCTGGCCCTGCGTGCGGGTGTCCTCGGCCGAGTCGGTGAAGGTCAATCGGGCGCCTTCGCCGTTCTCCTCCGCAAACAGGCTGATCTCCGGGATGCGGTAATCCTGGCGTGGGGCAGAGCAGAGAATCAATCATAGAATCACAGAATGGTTTGGGTTGGAAGGGACCTCAAAGATCATCCAGTTCCAACCCCCTGCCCTGGGCAGGGACACCTCCCACCAGCCCAGGTTGCTCCAAGCCCCATCCAACCTGGCCTTGAACCCCTCCAGGGATGGGGCAGCCACAACTTCCCTGGGCAACTTGGGCCAGTGTCTCACCACCCTCATGGTAAAAAAATTCTTCCTGAGATCTAATCTGAATCTTTTTTCTTCCAATTTAAAACCGTTTCCCCTTGTCCTATCATTACCCTTCCTGGCAAAGAGTCCCTCCCCAGCTCTTCTATAGGCACCCTTCAGGTATTGAAAGGCCGCTATAAGGTCTCCCCGGAGCCTTCTCTTCTCCAGGCTGAACAACCCCAGCTCCCTCAAAGATCATCCAGTGCCACCCCCTGCCCTGGGCAGGGACACCTCCCACCAGCCCAGGTTGCTCAAGACCCCATCCAACGTGGCCTTGAACCTCTCCAGGGATGGAGCATCCACAACTTCCCTGGGCAACCTGTTCCAGGCTCTCACCACCCTCACAGTAAAAAATTTCTTCCTGGGATCTAATCTGAGCAGCGTTACGGGGGTCTGGCACTCCCCCCCACACACACACTTGGGAGATGTAGGGGGTATCAGGAGGTTTGGGGGGGTGGAAGGGGGTGGTTCTTGCTCTCACCCGCACCACCCTCTTGAAGGAGCCGATGCGGAAGGGCCGGTGGCCGCGGGGCTGCTGGCTCTGCCCGTACGCCGTCCAGGGGTTGTCGATCTCCACGTCCCCCTCGGCCAGGACGCACTTGCGCCCGTGGAACCGGGGCTTCTCGTACATCACCCACCTGGGAGAGGGGAGGGGAAAGTGGGAGCAAAGAGGGGAGAGGGAAAAAAAATCCTGCTTATACCCCACAGCCCCACAGCCATGGGGAGCCCCAGGCTGGGGTGGGGACACCCTGTCACCGCCGCGATGCTGGATGGCAGCCACAGTAATTAGGCACCGGTGGGGACGGTCACTCCTGAACCCCAGGCTGGGACCTGGATGCTGTTCCTGGCGTGGGGAGCATCGGGGGGGGGACACCCCAGCCGAGCCCTCCCTCCTCATCCTCACCGCGTGTCCTCGCCCCCGTCGCTGTCCCCTACCCGCCTCGGATGACCCGGATGGAGATGGTGTGCGAGAGCTCCCAGGACGTGGCGTCGGGGACATCACCCCAAATCTCCCGTTTCTGGCCCGTGAAGCCGGCCTCGGAGAAGAGGATGATCTGGGAAGGGGTGACACGTCTGAGAGGTGCTACCACACCACACCACACCGCACCACACCACACCACACCACACCACACCACACCACACCATGACCAGGACAGCCCAACCCAGCCCCACCACGCTCCCCATACCTTGCCAGGTCTCCTGTTGATCTTCTTGAAGCTCTCCTTGTCCTCCTGCTGTGAACATCCAAGGGGACAGGCATGTTTGGAGCATAAAGGGACATCGGTGACACCAGCCATCTCCTCGCAGCCCGAGGAAGGCGCAGGCACAGCCTCACGTCTGGCGTCTGCCAAGCCCTCCCACTGCCCCGAGCAGCCACACCTCGAGCATTCCTGCACTGCTGGGGATCAGCCTCCCCGCCCCGGGATCCTCCCATCATCCCTGGTGACATCCTCCCATCGCTTCACCTGGTACCCTGCCGTCACCTCCCCCTGGTACCCTCCTGTCACCCAAGAGGGGTGACATCCTGGTCATCACCCATCCTGGTTCACCTCCATCACCAATACCCTCCATCACCTGCCCTGGTACCCTCCCATCACCCATCCCAGAACGCTCCTGTCACCCATCCCAGAGCCCTCCTGTCACCCATCCTTGTTCCCTTTGATCACCAGTGCCAATACCCTCCATCACCCACCCTGGTACCCTCCTGTCACCCAAGAGGGGTGACATCCTGGTCATCACCCATCCTGGTTCACCTCCATCACCAATACCCTCCATCACCTGCCATGGTACCCTACTGTAACCCAGAAGGGGTGACCTCCTTGTCATCACCCATCCTGGTTCCCCTCCATCACCAATACCCTCCATCACCTGCCCTGGTACCCTCCCATCACCCATCCCAGAACCCTCCCATCACCCATCCCAGAACGCTCCTGTCACCCATCCCAGAGCCCTCCTGTCACCCATCCTTGTTCCCTTTGATCACCAGTGCCAATACCCTCCATCACCTGCCCTGGTACCCTCCCATCACCCATCCTGGTTCACCTCAATCACCAATACATTCCATCACATGCCCTGGTACCCTCCTGTCACCCATCTCAGAGCCCTCCCGTCACCCATCCTGGTTCCCTTTGATCACCAGTGCCAATACCCTCCCCCTCCATCACCAATACCCACCATCACCTGCCCTGGTACCCTCCCATCACCCATCCCAGAACCCTCCCATCACCCATCCCAGAACGCTCCTGTCACCCATCCCAGAGCCCTCCTGTCACCCATCCTTGTTCCCTTTGATCACCAGTGCCAATACCCTCCATCACCCACCTTGGTATCCTCCTGTCACGATGGATGGCACCCTCCCATCACCCATCCTGGTTGCCTTTGATCACCAATACCCTCCATCACCTGCCCTGGTACCCTCCTGTCACCCAAGAGGGGTGACATCCTGGTCATCACCCATCCTGGTTCCCCTCGATCACCAATACCCTCCATCACCTGCCCTGGTACCCTCCCAACACCCATCCCAGAACCCTTCCATCACACCAGGGGCTTTCACCCCGTGACCTCCCTGATGGGAAGCTCAAGCCACATGCTGGGAAAGATGCTCCAGGGTTCCAACCCCACCACCTCCCTACATGCCCAGTGAGGGGCAAGAACATCTCCCCAGACGCTGTGTGGTGGGATTTACTCACCAGGACATCAGTGGGGTACAGGGTCATGGTGCTCTCCAGCTCTCCAGTGAGAGGAGGGACACGGCCAGCACTCGGAGCTTCCAGCATGGCCATCTCAGGGCCGGGGTGGTCACCAGAGCCCAGTCCATTGTTGTCCCCAGGGGTGGGTGAGCCTGTGCCCCCCCTGTCCCTGCTGGGCATCTCGAGCAGGGCGGTGCTGGGGGACACGAAGCGGCTGTAGAGCACGCTGTTGTCCAGACGTGAGTAGGGCTTCCCCTCGTCAGCCGCGGCCGCCCGGTGCTCCAAGAAGTGGGAGAGCAGCGCCATGCCCTTGAGGACGTTCCCTCTGAAGAGCACGCTCCTCTCGGCCAACCCCCCAACCACCGGTTTGGCCTTTTCCTCCCCTCCCACCTGCCCTGGCACCCCCAGGAGCGAGCCCCCCTCCACCCGGCCATCGCTGACCACAACGTCACCGGGGACCCTCTGGTGGGACCTCATCGCCGCCCGCTCAGCGGGGCTCAGGTAGGGGTTCTCGATCTCCACCTCCTCCACGGGGGTCTCCTCCTGCCGCCCCACCGGGCCCCGCGCCAGCAGGTCCCGCAGGGCCTCGGGCAAGGAGATGGGGGCACGGGGGGCCACACGGTCCTCATGGATGGGGGGCAGAGCGGCACAACGGCCCAGCGACGACGGCCGGGGCTGGCGTGGGACCTTGGGTGCCTTCCGCATCTCCGAGGGCTCCATGTTGCGTAGCGTGTCCACGAAGATCTCCATGTCCACCAGCAGCTCAGGGTCCTCCTCAGCCGTGTCCAGGGGGCTCTCAGCTGGTGGGTCATGGGCTGGGGGCTCGGCGGGGGGCTCTGGGCCGCTCTGGGGCTCTTGGGCTGTGCTTTGGGAGTCCCCTGTCTTCTCGTCCCCCTCCAACTCAACCTCAGCCTTTGGAGATGCTGGTCTTTCAGATGAAGGCTCTGGACTGTTGGTGACCTCCGAGGAGGGGTTTTCGGGGGTGCCACCGCCTCCCGGGGGGCTCTCTGTCCTCGGTGGCGTGGCTGAAGTGGTGCCATCCCCATCTGCTGTGCTTCCCTCTCCCGCACCAGCCGGATCAGCCTGGCCGCCAGCATCCTCCGAGGGACACTGCCGGAGGCTGGTTATACTGGTTTGTGGGTCCCCAGGACCGTCGCCGTCTCTGGGGGTTGCGTTCTCCAGCGTGGCTTCAGCTTGTGGCAAGCATTTCTCCTCGGGGCATCCCTCTTCCAGGAGCCCGGTGGCCTCCTCGGTGCCCGGCGAGCTCTCTCTGCCCGCTGTGTCCCCAGCCGAGCCGCTGCCACCCTGCCCCTGGTTCTCCTGCTGTGGTGGGGTCGTCGTGGCACCGGTGGCATCCTGCATCTCATTTTGGGCTTCCTTTCCTTCTGCCAGCCCCGTCTCGGGACCGGCTGCGTCCCTGCCCGTCCGCAGCACAGTGACATTCCTGGCACGGGGCAGGGCAGGGACACAGCCGGGCTCAGCCCTACTTGGGGCACCGGGACCCTCACCGGGACCCGCCGTGGGGCGCTCGGTGGGTACGGGGGGAAGGAGGGTGCCGTGGACGTAGCTCTCCCTGTGCACAGGCACCTCACGGGGGGTGCCCACCGGCGGGGGGACACCCCCACCACCCCCAGCCTTCCCCCTCTCGTCCTGCCGCCGGGGCTTCTGCGCGGGGGAGTAGACCTGGGAGAAGATGGGGCCATGGGCGGTGAAGTCCTTGAGGGGGCTGAGGGAGGACGAGCGCTCCCGGGGTGGTGGGGTGGCCGCCGTCTTCTCCACGATCTCCCTCTCCCAGGCCTGCAGCAGGAGGGAGACGCGGGAGGGACTCCCCTCCCGGCCCCGGGGGGTCCCCGTCTTCTCCAGCCGCCGTGACACCAGAGAGACCTTCTGGAAACGGGACCTGCCCTCGGGACCTGGGGTGCTTGGCACTGCTTGCTTCATGCTCAGCTCCGCGCTGGAGACGAAGCCCCTGGCCTTGGGGTGCTGGAAGGGTGAATCCATGCCGGGGGGGGGGCTTGGGGAGGGGGGTGCCACGGCCCCGTGACACCCTGTGCTGCCCTGGGGCTGGTGGAGCTGCATGGAGACAAGGAGACCATGGGAGAGCTGAGTAGAAACCACCCTGCAGGGACAAGCCTGAACCCCCCAAACCTCCCTCTGATCCTGCAGGACATTTTGGGGGGGGGGTCCATTGAGCACAGGAGGTGGCTTTGGGGCTCTCTGCCATTCTTGGGGTGCTCATGGCATCCCTCCTGGCACACGGAGGGCACGGCGGGTCCCCTCTTCCTATCCACCCCAATGCTTCTGCATCCAGCAGAGATGGTGGGGAGCTCCACCACGGCACCAAGGTGGGCTGTGGCAGAGCCCGGCATGGCTGGCACGGCACAGGTGAGCGTGTAGGATGCCGTGCCGTGCCCCGAGTCGTGCCGTGCCCCGAGTCATGCCGTGCCCCGAGCTGCGGGATGAGTCAGGCGGGCGGCGGGGCTGCGCCGAGTCAGCAAACGCAGCAAACAAACAAGCCCAAAAAGCAACAGAGAAGCTGCTCCACGGGGTAAAAGGGCCTGGCCAGGACCAGGACCGGAGCTGGGGTGGCCGTGGGGTTGGCAGGAGGAGGTGGGAACCCCAGGAGCATCTTCCCTTCACCCTTCCCTCTTGTTGGGATGGCTTGGTCCACCTCTCCAAACCCATCAGCAGGAGAAAACAAGCTGCACTAATCACCCGGCGCTTGCCTCCTGCTCCAAACTGGTGCCCAGCACTCAGGTCCCGTGCCCTGGTGTTTGCTGCTGCAAAGTGGGCATCACTGCGGTCCCCAAGGCGCAGGGCAGGGGCCAGGGCCACCCGTGCCACCTCGGCTGGGTGGGGGGGGGATGCTGGTGGAGGCATCGCTGTGCCCGTGGCTCCTTCCCTGCCCCAGAAAGGTTTTATTGCAGGTTTTGGGAAGCAGCTGACGCAGCAGGTGCCTGGGAGGGAGCTGGGAACACACCAGCACCTCAGCATCTCTCAATTAGAAGCCATTTGGTGTCACCATCCGGCTACGGGGACAGCAGCAGGGACAGGGCTTTGGGCTCAACCCGAGGGCAGGCTGAGCTTGGGGTCTCCAGACCAAGGATGGGGACAACTCCCTGCAGAGCCTCCGGGGCTGGTTTCTCCAGGGGACACCGTGGTAAAGGCTTCATCCTGCACCACCTGGGGCTGGGCTCCCTCCGACGGCTGCAGGTTGGGCTTTCCCAGTCCCTCAGGGGGGGTTTGGGGAGGATGGGGGCCGGCAGAGAAGCACTGGGTGCGGGCAACTTGCCTGCCCCTTCTGCCAGCCCTCCACGTGCCCTCTGTGTCTGGCTCTCCCCGGCCCGGCAGGTCTTTCCAGTACAGATAGGAAGAGTTTGTGTCATTTTCCAGGAGGCGATGAGACCTCGTCTGGGACAGCCAGCGCCGCTCCAGGCTGGGACCAGCCTGGGTGGGGCCACACATCTGCATGGGCAAAGCCACATCTGCATGGGCAAAGGCACAGCTGGATGCCCAGGGCCACAGCTGGATCCCCAGGACCACAGCTGGATGTCCAAGGCCACAGCACCCACCAGCAGATGAGGGATGGGTGCACTGGGCAGCGCAGAGAAAAAGCTGCTTAAATGTGCTGGGGACAAGACGGGGCTCAGAACAAACATCCAAGAGTAGGGTCAGGCTGGAGGAACCCACAGCACCCCGAGTTGGGGTCTCTGAGTGGCACAAGGGGACCCCCAAGCTCCTGCCAGGGGTGGCAGTGCCAGGGTGGTGTGGTTTGGGCAGGGACGTGGCCCCTCTCTGCCTCAACGAAGCCGTCCCGCCGGAGCCTCCTGGCACCAGGTTGCACCCTGGGCTTGCTTCAGCCCTGGTTTCTCAAGCACTTGCTGGTGGTGCCCGGCCCCATCGTGCCCGTGGCCCCGGGGTGGCACCGGGACGGGGACGCCGTCTCCAGGCAGCACCGGAGCGCTGGGGGGGAGGCAGGAGCTGCTGACTCAGCATCACTCAGCCTCTCGCCCCGGAGCTGGATTTCCAAAGAATCATCACCAGGTCTGTCTGTCCCATCCCATCCCATCCCATCCCTGCAGCTGGATCCAGCACCCGGTGCCACCCTGGGCCACCCAGTGCCCCACCAGCCCTGGGCAAGGAGCTCACCCCAGGGCCCTGCTCTGCTCCACCACCCCAGTTTTTTGGCTAAAATATTTCCTACCGCAACGGTGGGTCAAGAGCACAAGGACATGAGGACACAAGGACACAAGGACAAGACCCTGCAGCCTCCTGGCTTCTCCTGCTGGCCATCCCTGCCCGCCAGGACGTGTCATGCTGGATCCCAACAATATTGCCACACCAGGGCACCTGGCACTGCTAATTAACCCCCCTTCCTCGATCAAGCCAAGCCAAGCCAACCCACTCAGCTCCTTTACTGCCTCCCCTCACCCCAAAGGGTGTCCCAGCACCCAGCCCAGGTCACCCAGCACCCACGTAAAAGGCACGAGGTGGCTTTTAACATTCAGGAGAGATGGAGGGGGCCGAGGGCAGTGGCTGTGGCTGCCTTTGGAGCTGGTGACCAGGGATTAAGCCGAGCCTCCAGCCACGTCGGGCTGAGCCCCGTCGCCGCGGGGTGAGAGCGGACCTGCCGCCTTCAGGAAAATCGAGGATTTGGTTTTGGGCGGCTGCTGCGCGGGCTGGGGGTCATGAGGAGGGCAGGGGAACCGCCATCTCCCCCCCTACACCGCCCCTGCCTCCCCACCACCCCGCTGTGTCACCATCAGCTGCGTGCCCTGCAGGGAGGAGGGGGACACGGGTGACAGGGGAACCCCTTCTGTCGTCCCCCCCCACGTCCCCCCGGGTGGTGAGGCCACCGGAGGTGAAGGAGCCCCAGCTGAATCTGGGGATGCAGTTTGGTGGCAGGAGCTGGGTCACAACCCCAGGAGCCCCCCAAATTCGGGGACTGAAGGTGAGAGGGGCAGAGCTGGGCTCAGCCCCCCTCTACTCCAAGCTGTGTCCCCCCCTCCCTGCCCAGTGCCGGTCTCGGGGGGAGCAGGGACCCAACCCAGCACCCTCCAAGCACCGGGCAGCCCCCATGGGTGGCATCTGGGAGACAGGAGCACCCTCCACCTCCCAGCACCGTGAAAACTCCCTCCCCACAAGCACCTGTGCAAGCCCAGACGGCACCCCATGTGCTTGGGAAGGGGGGGGGGGTGCCCACCCTGCACCCCCACGTACCTGCTGGCCGAGGGTCCCACCGGTGACGAGCGGGGTGCTGTGCTGAGTGGGTCTGGGGGTGCTGTCTCCCTGCACGCCGCGGCTGGGCGGACCGGCAGAGTCACCCGGCGAGCACCCAGCCCTGGGCGAGCACCCAGCCCTCGGCACCCAGCCCTGGCGCAGCGGAGGTTTGGCATTCCTCAGGTGCTGACAGCCGGGGAGCCGGTCGGGCTGGTTCCCCTGCACCCACAGCCTCCCCGTTTCCTCCGACTCAGCAGCGCCAGGAGGGAGACCCAGCCCCCCTGGGTGGCTCTAAGTGTGTGTGTCCCCCCCTCAAACAACCCCAGACCCCTGCCCGGCCACCCCCTCCCCACCAACCGACTCATTGGGGGTGATGATAACCTCAGAAGGGGTCTCGGTGATGGGTTTGTCACCCCATATCCAGCCAGCAGGACCGTGGGGGGCTGGTGGGGTCCCCACACGCTGTGGTTGGGGGTCCCAACACGCTGTGGTTGGGGGTCCCCAGGGCTGTGAGCACACCCAGGTTCATCAGCTACGTGGGGGTCCCACAAGGAGCCCCTGGCCCTTGCAGCACGTCCCCAAGGAGCCTCCTGGGTGCTGGGTCCCAAGTCTCAGACACCCAGGGCTCTTCAAGGGGCGTCCCGCTGACTTGGGGACAGAGTGGCTGTCACAGTAGCCCCGGGCCACCGTAGGAGACCTGACCCCGGGGCACAGGGCCCTTTCCCAGCAGGGCTCGGTGTGAGAGCAGAGCCAGCACCCGCCCTGGATCCCTCACCCTGCCCTCCCTCTCCTCCCCAGCACCCTCGGGTGCCCCGCCACGGTGCCAGCCTTGCCTTGGGGCCACCACTCCCGGCTGCTGGCCCAGCCCGGGAGCCTCCTCGGCCACCGCCAGCCCGGGGTGCTGGTGGCCACAGTTGATCTCCAGTTGGGGTGCCCGAGGCCACCCAGCTCCATCACTCACACACTGGGGAAACTGAGGCACAGCCCAGCTCCCACCGCACCTTGGCCAGCAGTGCCGGGGTCCAGCCGGGGATGGGGGGGCTGGTGGCTTGGCCACCCCTCTGCTCGTCACCAAGGTGGCTTTGCTGTCCTGGAGAAGCACCGGGGAACCGGTGGGGGCTGGAGCAGGTCGGTTGGACTCTGCCCTGTCCCTCCCTGTCACACCAGCGGGATGCGGTTGTGAAACTCCCCCCACCCCTGGAGAAGCCACACACTGGTGAGGACACCCCTGGGAGCCATGTCCCCTGCCTGGGGAAGCCCCCCATGGCCTGTCCCCATGGCAGGGATGAGTCCGATGGACCCCCAGAGCCACAGGGAGGGGGGGGCTCAGGGACCCCTGCCAGCCCCTGACCCAGGGGGGGCTGTGGTGGGCAGGGCATGGAGCCGTGCTGCCACCCAGCACCGGAGGAAGTGGCTCCATCCCATGTCCCATGCCCTTCCAAGGGACATTGGGGACCCCTGGGGACCCCCCCTCCCCTCCCTGGGGGGCTGCACTGGGCTGGATGAGCTGCAAAGGCAGAAATGTTTATTGAGTAAGATCACGGGGAGGGGGGGGGGTCACTCAGCAGCCCTGGTCCCAGCAGCAGGTGAGGGCAGCCAGGGCCATCGTGTCCCTCGGGTGGCAGCGAGATGCTGGGGGGGCCGGCAGGATGCGGGGAGCGGCACCCGGAGGTACCAGAGATGGAGATGCCCACCCTGGCATGGCACCCCCCCAGATAGAGCCCCGTGAGGGTTCAGCGGTGGCACCAAGACGAGGAAATCAGTGACAGACAGAGCCATGTCCCCACGGCGCTGCGGTGGTGACACGCTGGGAGCCCGAGGTGTGCCCGAGATGGGAGGGGGCTGAGAAATTAAAGCTTTTTCCGCAGAAAGTGGGGGTTTCTTGCACCCCGGGCACAGCCCTGAAGCAGTAATGAATGTGGGGGCACAGGGGAAGCTGGCCAGGGGGACACCCTCCCTGAGGGCTGTGGGGACAGTGCTTTGTTGGGGGGGACCCTCCTCTGTCCTTGTCCCCAAGGCTGGGGCAGCGTTTATGGAGCTGGGGGGTGATGATGGTGGTGGCTCCTCCTGGCCTTTATTGAGTAAGATCACGGGGAGGGGGGGTCACTCAGCAGCCCCCACCTCAGTGGCAGGTGAGGGCAGCCAGGGCCATCGTGTCCTTCGGGTGGCAGAGAGATGCTCGGGGGGGACAGCAGGATGTGGGGAGCGGCACCCCGAGGTACCAGAGATGGAGATGCCCACCCTGGGTGGGGGGGGGTCACTCAGCAGCCCTGGTCCCAGCAGCAGGTGAGGGCAGCCAGGGCCATCGTGTCCCTCGGGTGGCAGCGAGATGCTGGGGGGGCCGGCAGGATGCGGGGAGCGGCACCCGGAGGTACCAGAGATGGAGATGCCCACCCTGGCATGGCACCCCCCCGGAGAGAGCCCCATGAGGGTTCAGCAGTGACACCAAGATGAGGAAATCAGTGACAGACAGAGCCATGTCCCCACGGCGCTGCGGTGGTGACACGCTGGGAGCCCGAGGTGTGCCCGAGATGGGAGGGGGCTGAGAAATTAAAGCTTTTTCCGCAGAAAGTGGGGGTTTCTTGCACCCCGGGCACAGCCCTGAAGCAGTAATGAATGTGGGGGCACAGGGGAAGCTGGCCAGGGGGACACCCTCCCTGAGGGCTGTGGGGACAGTGCTTTGGGGGGGACACCCTCCTCTGTCCTTGTCCCCAAGGCTGGGGCAGCGTTTATGGAGCTGGGGGGTGATGATGGTGGTGGCTCCTCCTGGCCCCAAGGGTCTGGGGCTGGGGGGGCAACCCCCACCCATGCAGCCCATGGGGGCTGTCCCAGCTCAGACAGACCCCAGCCAGGGACATTGCTGCTGCCTGGGGACACCATGGCTGGTCCCCACATCCACCCCTGCCCACCCGGGCAGCCCCTTCCCCACCTCCCCCAGCACGAAGCCCTGCAGCAGCACCATAGCCTGGCTGGGATGGTTCCCTCCTTCCTCCTCATCCTCCTCCTCCTGCTTCAGCCACCC